AAGCCATATAAATGAGCATCTACTTCTATAGATTTGAAATCCATGATAAAAATTCTGTCACTCCCCATTCACTTCTAGTCATTGTTTGGTAGATATTAAAATCAGATTTTTAGTAGATTTTTATAAAAGTTAATGAAATGTATGATTGAAAAGTTGTGGATTCCATGAAATATATAATTAAAATTAATTGTTGACTTTTGTTGACGTCAAAAATTGTATGTACAAAATTCAAGCCAACTTCAAAGAGGAATACGACTTTGATTAATTGTCGATGCGAAGTTACAAGTGATACAACTACTCCTTTCTATATTTATAGGAGATTTTTGAAATATGGATAAATAATGTAAGAAGATTTGTAATGTACCAAAGTCCCCTTCTTTTCCACTATTTTCTCTTTTATATGAGAAAATATATATGCTTCATTAATTTCCTGTCTTATCACCTGCAATTCCGAGTTGAAGAAGTACACATGTTGGAATGATTCCAATGGCCTTTGAGATCGATTTGGCAGCCATGATGAGCAAATCTTATAGGTGTGCCTTAACAATTAATGAAGTAACTATTTGATCAAGTTTATGTAAGCATTGATGTAAGATCATTCCCTGTGGATTCCTCTGATTGGCTGGTTTGTTGATTGTGTCAGTGATTTGCAATCATTAGAATCCTCTTAAAAGACTACATAATTTTTCTAGATATGCTAACCATTCGAGCCAACCTCATACCACCAAGCTCGCATTGCCACGTACTTATCACGTGTTTCAATTCGTTTTGTTCGACCTTAGAGCTCAGCTCGTCAACTCAGTTCATTAACAATTGGGAGGTTTGGATTGGCTTAATGAGCTCGACTTGTCAGGTCATCATGAGTTTAACTTTATAGGTGGTCTTCAATAATTAATGAATTGCGTAGGGGGGAAGCTAAGGCGTATGATTGGTGGAATTAGGAGATGCTGTCATGAGCCTATCCAAATATAATTGATTGATTGGACGTTTGACAGTGTGTAAGGAATCTTCAATTATTATGTCTCCTTGAGCCCTGAACTGACCTCACATATCCGAACTTATATTAGTATGAGCTTAATGCATGTAACCAACTGTATTTAATGAGGTCGGATTACAACCAGGTCGGAGCCATTGGAGAGGTCGGATGACCCCCAGGTCGGTGCTCCCGGTGAGGTAGGATATCAACAACTTTAACTTAAATTTTAATCAATTTTTTTAGTGATGCCAAACAGGGGTTTAATTTATTATTTAACTATGTATCATCGTCAACCTACAAAATATAGATGCTCTCAAAAATGAGTTGTGCTTTGTATAGTTTAGGCGATGGTGAAATCCATTGTTTTATTGTCCACTGAAGCAGTTAATATAGATGGCAAAAGGTCCAAACAACTCACTTGGCCGGCTTGGCTCATTTTGCCACAAGCCGTAGGTTGAGGCGAGCTTGAATTTTTGGTAGACGAATCGAGTCGAGCACAAAAGAAAAGCCCCTAAGTTTTGTGAGTCAACTGGTAGGATGGCTTGTGGGCTCGCTTTAGAACTTGCCTTATTTTTCTATTTCTCTTATATAACCATGAACCAACTCGACTCATCAAGGGCAGGGCCATTGTCCGAACCATGCAAGGCATCAAGCCCGTAAAACAGGCTTGGCTCAACACATTTCAACTCGACTCATCAAGGGCAGGGCCATTGTCCGAACCATGCAATTCAGCAAGCCCATAAAACAGGCTTGGCGCTACACATTGCCTCTCCTAGTTGAAATGCATTTTATTATATTAGATTTAATATATTAGACAGTGATGCAATAGACCTTGACATCATTTAAATTAGTATTAAATACTAGAAATACTATATAACATTATTCCTCAAAAATAAAAAGGAATAAATATCTTAGGTTTAACGTGCTGTGGCTCATAATTTGGAGATGTACAAATTCCACTAATAGTGTTACATAGCATTTGTTAGGGACTACTAAATTTTGTTAAAGATTGCAATTTGATTGAAGACATATCTTGTTAGGAATCTAGTCATCCAATCAGAAAAATGATTTCTTTGTTATTAAATGAACGTCCCATTATTAACACCTCACCCCACTATGCACCAATTTATTGATGTCGACTATACATATCTAAATATCAGTTCGAATGTTTTTGAAGTTGGTCTAATCGAAATTAGATTTTTACATATTTGTCCAATCAGAGCTAAGGTTTTTCTAGTTGTCTTGTTGAATGCATTTCCACTAGTTTATTGCAAGGGAAACCGTAACGAAAGGTTGAGAACGTAAATGTTACTTTTTAGTTTTTAAAGGTTGTGGACAAAAGTGCAACAAATGTTGAAGGTTGGGAACGTATGCTATTATCTACCCAAAGTACCCCACACTAACCCACCCCACCCCACCACCTCCCACGCTGCACACAGTCTTGATTCTCTTGAATGCATCTACTCTAGTAATAACAGACCCAAAAACCAAACTCCCAGAAGCACTTTTATCGAAGGTACTGCTGAATGTGATGGGATTAACCTGACCATTTAACACCTCTCATTCCCTCAAATCTCTTCATAAATAATCCTCTCTCCCACGCAGTAATTAATATTTCTCTTTGGCCAAGTGCCGACACTTTTCACCTCCCCAAGACACAGCCCCAATAATACTGTTCATATTTGTATTAAAATAATGTGTGTTAATTCTCTAGATATATACTACATAACTGCCATCCTTTTCACCACTATCACACCCCCTTGTCCTCTTCTATCATTTATAGGGTCTATTATTCATGATTAGGAGAACACAGTTGAAACAAGACTTCACAAAGAATACCTCTTGAGGTAAAAGGAAAAGGGTTCGCCTTTTCTCTTGTTCTGTGATGCTGTCTTCCTGTTCTTCTCGCGCTTTCTTGATTAAAGATGGGACCTTTTTGCTGTTTTCTTTCTGTTGTCTAGTTCTATTCGGTTAAAGTTCAGTTCTTGATGATTTTGGATGGTTTTTTGTATTTCTTTTTATGGGTGATGGAAGTTTTCATTTAGTTCTTCATTGTTTTAATCTATATGAATTCTGGGTCTTTGCTAATAGATGCTATTTAGCGGTTGCATCTCCAATTTAGGTGGCGGCGTTACGTTATATTAAAGGACAAGTGGAATTAAATGGCGCGTTTCATTTAGTATATCATCTAGCGCCGTCTAAACTGGGTTTGCAACCCAAGTTGGATAACATAACACTATTCTTGCTAATAAGAGTTTTCTTGAGAAGCTAATCGAATAAATGGAAGTTGATTAATTACATTTGTGTTTTCATTAATTGACGCGTTGAGCAGTTCGATGTATAAATGCTACAAAGTACGATTTATGATATTTTAGATATGTGAAAATTATATTCATTAATCAACTTTTTACTGGTAATTTAGAAATCTTTTTCTACCTAATTTCTGGAAATCTGGTGCTAGATTTCCATGGACATTAGTTTGATGAAACCTGTTATCTGTGAAGATTTTTTGCTTTTCTTTCCCCCCCTTTAGATAGCTTTTATGATCATAGATGTCATCCTGTATTTGCTTTTATGTGATAGGTTCTTTTTTTCTTTACCTTTCAGTTGTGGTTCATATGCTTTCCGTGATAATTTTTTGTTATACACACACACATCTTTATTTTCAATTTGAAGATAATTATGTTTAAAGTTCTCTCCTTTTGAGTGGATTAAGGCACACTAGTTGAGATTTTCTTGATTTCCCTTTTATCCATTTTTACAGGTGGGATGGCGTTTAAGTGAATACACTGTTATTTTCCATTGTTAAATATCGATTCTCGTCAGAGGAAAACAACATAAATTCAATTTTTTGAAGATTCGAATCAAACCCAATATTTAGTACTTGGATTTTTACAAGTTTGGTGCAAGTTTGGGGTGATAAAAATGATGATGCTTGACGATATGGGGTTTGGTGGTGATTTTGATTTCTTTTCCTCTGCTCCTATCAAGGAAGTCGATGTTTGTGTTTCTCAGACGACCGAGCCAGAGCCGGTTGTGGAGGATGATTATACTGATGATGAGATCGATGTGGATGAACTTGAGAGGAGGATGTGGAGGGATAAGATGCGACTCAAAAGACTGAAAGAAATGAGCAAGGGTAAGGAAGGCGATGATGCTGCTAAACAACGGCAATCTCAAGAGCAGGCAAGGAGAAAGAAGATGTCAAGGGCTCAAGACGGGATCTTGAAATACATGTTGAAAATGATGGAAGTATGCAAAGCTCAAGGTTTTGTTTATGGAATCATTCCAGAGAAAGGTAAGCCAGTGAGTGGGGCATCTGACAACCTGAGGGAGTGGTGGAAGGATAAGGTGAGATTTGATCGTAATGGACCGGCTGCCATAGCGAAATACCAAGCAGATAATTCAATCCCGGGAAAGAATGAGGGGTGTAATCCAGTTGGTCCTACCCCCCACACCCTGCTGGAGCTCCAAGATACCACCCTTGGTTCACTGTTGTCAGCCCTGATGCAGCACTGTGATCCTCCTCAGAGACGGTTTCCTTTAGAGAAAGGTATTTCGCCTCCGTGGTGGCCCACTGGGAATGAGGAATGGTGGCATCAGTTAGCTCTGCCAAAGAATCAAGGTCCCCCACCTTATAAGAAGCCTCATGATCTGAAAAAGGCGTGGAAGGTGGGAGTTCTAACGGCAGTGATCAAGCACATGTCTCCTGATATTGCCAAGATTCGCAAGCTCGTTAGGCAGTCAAAGTGCTTGCAGGACAAGATGACAGCAAAGGAGAGTGCAACTTGGCTCACTATCATCAACCAGGAGGAAAACTTAGCTCGAGAACTTTATCCTGATCTCTGTCCATTGTTGACCTCGTCAGGTGGGAGCGGAACCTTTGCCATGAATGATACCAGTGAATATGATGTTGAAGGGGCCGATTATGAGTCTAACTTTGATATCCAAGAGCAAAAGCCAAACCCAAACCACCTTGGTTTGTTCAATATTGGGACGGAGGGATTCAATGATAGACTTCCAGTTCAACAACAATCTCATACAATTAAGGATGAATTCATAACTGATTTGGCCTTCACCCGGAAGAGGAAGTCTGGCAATGAACTCCTGATGGATCACAAAATATATACGTGTGAGTTCCTTCAATGTCCTCATAGTGAAATCTGCCTCGGTTTTCAGGACAGAAATTCCCGGGACAATCATCAACTCTCTTGTCCTTATAGACATTCTTCCGAATTTGCGGTTTCAAACTTCAGCATTGATGATATCAAGCCAGTCATGTTTCCTCAATCTTTTGTCGAGCCGAGTCCAACGACTTTGCCTGGAAATTCAGTTCCACCTTCTTTTGATCTAACAGGACTTGGAGTTCCAGAAGATGGGAAAAGGATGATCAATGAACTCGTGTCTTTTTATGATAATAATGTACAAGGTAACAAGAACTCAAATACTGGGAACGCCGGAGTCATCAAAGATCAACCTCCTCAGCTACCCAGTATTCAATGTCAAATTGATGGGTACTTTTCGAGTCAAGGTCCTCAAGGAATACTTTCGGAGGGTAGTGTTTTTCAGAACACAAATATGCCCCCTAATCAGTCTATGCATCGTCCGGCAGCAGATCGGTTTGACCAGTTCGAGGTTATGAATTCTCCTTTGAACTCCACGCAATTAATGTTTGGTTCTCCGTTCAATATTCATTCCACGAATTACAGCGAAACATTTCCTGGAGTTGCTATGGATAACCTGCCGAAGCAGGATGCTAAAATTTGGTACTAAGATGATTGATTATGGACTCTCGATCAGCTGGAATTTAGCACCTATTATTTTCTTAGTTATTGTGGAATTTTCCTTGCAGTGTACTAGTTGTAGATGTCGAATGGCTTGGCCTTGGGCATGGTTGCAATAAGCAAGTGGGATTATGCCCCCTTGCCCCTGGACCTTGTGATGAAATGGATAGACTTATATAAATGTTACATAAATAAGCTTAGTGTCCTTTTGATTTGTCTGTTTTCTTGTACAAGTTGAGGTTTTATGTCATAGTGGTACCCAGTCTATATCTATGGTGGCTGTATTTTGTTGACTGTCTGGTCATTTAATTGTAATTAGAATGACTATGGGAGAAACAGCATTATTATTGGTTGGTTCCAAGTGCTTTCATTTTCTCATAATTGAGTTTTGGATTTTATAGCTTGTTTGGTACTTTTGGCCAAGTGGTGAAGAGGTCCACCTTACCAAATTGATACTTCCTTCCCTACTTCCTCCATTTATTTGATATGAATTGTTTTTTATGCACTAGATTGTTTGATTGCTTTATTTCCGCGATAAAGATCAAGTCCTAATCAATTTAAAGAACACGCAGATTTAAAATTGTCCAGTTGAGAATAGTTTACAGTGTCTCACGTCTCTCTCGCACAGTTTGATACAACAAAGTGTCGAAAAAGAAAGAAAATGGAAAATGGACATGGGTTGAGGTGAGATGTGAGATTAGATCGAGTATTGGCGAGATTTGAATTCAACTTTGAGAGAAACTTTTGAGTAGATATTAGGACATGTTTGATTGCAAGAATGAAATTTGAGTAGAAAGAAAAATGAATTCCAGAAATTGGATTGTCTATACCTTTTTTTACTTGGAATTGTCAATTAATTGTGCTTGATTGATATAATTTTTCCACCTTAAAAAAATAGTCAAATTTTGGATGTTTTGGTATTCGTTTGACTTTGTTTTTTATGAGAATAGAATTTGTTTCAATTAGGGATATAATTTGTTTCAATTGCACAAAAAAAAAAAAAAAACTGTCTAGAAAAGATTTTCTCATGAAACCCATGAAAAATATTTTCCTCAAAAATCAAGAAAATGTGGAAAACCAATTTTATGGAAAATTTAGTCAATCAAACATGCAAAAATGTGGAAATGGATTTTAATTTTCATCTTCCATGAAAAAAAAAAAAAAAAAAGAAGTTCATAATAATAATAATAAAAAAAATAAAAATAATAACAACAAAAACAAGACAAAAAAATTAAAAATCATTTTCCATGAAAAAAAAAAAAAAAAAGCAATCAAACATGGAATTAGTTTTCCTCTTTTCTTTTCATTTTCTTTCCTTTATCCACAATTGTTCTAATATAAATAAAATTAAAAAAAAAAATTGAAGATTATCTCCACAAACCTTGTGAATAATGGCAGATGTTGACTTCAAAGTATTATAATTATGATAGTTAGGTCATCTTTGAAGCAAGCAAAGACATGCTGAAAATAATTACTCAATAGGAAATTATTTGACTTCAAACAAGCCAACTGTTGTAATCAGTTAATAATAAGTACATAAAATATTCAATTTAAAAATAATTAAATTTAATAAATTAATTAAATTAAACGATACATGATAAAAATATCCTTCAATCCAACAATAACAATATAATTTCGAAAAAAATTCATTTTTGATTCTAACTTATGGTTATGTAGCAAATCGGTCCTCATTTTTAGATCAAGACATTTAGATCCTTGACCTCGTGTTCGTTCAAGGTGGGTCATGTGGGGATCAGGGAATTCCTACTCGACTGCCCTCCTTATTCTTTGCTTGTTATTTTAAGGAAACGGGATGGCTAGGATTCCCTAGTTGATTTGGGAATTCCACCATTTAGGAATGAGAAGTACAAGGTCATACGGACACGATATTTTGCTATGCCTACAAATCCCTTATCATTAGAATACACGTCTTCCAGTCCTACTATCCAACCTCAACTTCTTGTCTCTTTCTTCCACACAACACCTCTCATTCTCTATCTTCAACACTCCCTATTTGTTCCCTAGTCTCGTCTCCCCCGTTTCACTTCTCCGTCTCCCATCCTAAGACCCGTCGGTTCTTTGATTTTCTTTTCTTGTTCTGTTTATTTTATTTTAGTTAAGAATATGAACCTAAACTGTTTTAATGGTAAAATGAACCGTTCGGTAGTCAAAAGTTAGAGATAAAAGTTTATTTTATGGCTTACCAATTGGGGGATCAATCTTGCAATTTTCAAGGACATTTTAGTCCAGCCCTTTTGGTGTTCCAATTGTTATATCAAGGGCTGACTTTTTTATATCCACAAGTATAGGAGGCACACACTAACATTTTGAAGCAACATTTTCTGGCAAAGGAACATGCAAAGCTTCTTGAAAGCTGTTTTTGAACACCTATTTCTAATATGTACAATGCATCTAGACACTCTTCATATTGTCATATCCACTACGAGAACACTTTAGTAACATTTAAGATAGATATGAAGAAAGTCGATGAATTCGTCTTCACGGCTTGTCAATTCATCTCTATTGGAGGAAGGTCAAGAAAAAAGGAAAAGAAAAAAGATTGACGTGACATAAAACCTTTTCACGACTCGTAGCTCGATAATGAGTTTTTAATTTTTTTTAATAATATGCATGGTTTCTTAGTTGACAGCCAAAATAAAACTATCGTATATTTGATATGCAATTTTAATCTAAAATTCTAAAGTAATAACGATTTGGCTTTAAGTATTTTTAACGATGATCGTAGTGGTAATATCTGGAGACAACAAGAAGATAAAAACATTGAGTCGTAGTACTTGCATCAATTGAGTCGATTAGACATTTTGCATCATTAAAGTAAGAAATTGATTATTATTATTTTCAAATATTAATTTATTATTATTATTTTTTTCAAAAATATTCTCGTCTTTAAAAATTTGAATGGGTGGTTTCACATAAGAATCTTGCACATCTCTACCTAATCCTTTTCATTTCAACTGGCATAAGCACAACCTACCATGACAGTTAAAAATGTATATAATTTTTCAAATATTTTGGACACGTGTCACATTGCATTGACCTTGGATTAATAAAATTATTATTATTTATTTAAACGAATAAACCTATCACTTTTGTTTTTACTTATTTTTTTATGAAATTATGTAGTGATAGATGGCCACATGCTCTGTCATTACAATTGTTATGGTTTAAGTGCCTTTTCAAATCATTGAAAAAGCATAAAACTCCAATTTTTTTTTCTTTAAACGTAACTCATTGGTTGAGTTTACATGCGTATATATTCTTGTATAAATAACTTTGTATCATTTGTTGGACAAAAAATATTATATTGTTATACGAAAAATATCGAGCAAATTTCATGAAAAAGTTTATCCCGATGTCTCCAACCACCACCGTCCACCATCTTCTCGATGCCACCACCACTGTCCGCTACCATTCGAACGTGAATTTAGATGAGTCCACCACCATAAATCTCTTATCGCCTAACTCCCACCATCGCCCACAATCACAATCCACCACCGTTATCACTTATCCATAATCCCCATGGTCGGTTCAAGTATTATAGGAGTTCAGCAGTCGCCTATTGAAGGCTCCCTATTTTTAAATTTATATATTTTCTCATTTATTTCATTATAAAAATTCCGTCAATAATTAATAACATTAGAAATAAATAAAAATTACAAATAGTTTTAGTTAGTAATATTAAAAAAATAAGTAGTTTAACAAATTTAATTAATCAAAAAAATTGTGAAGAAATTAGGTTAAGTAATTTGGGAAAGAATTTGATTTTTAAGGTTATTTGTGAAACTTTTCCTAATTCTAATTCTTGTTCGAGAATAAAAATTGAAAAGTAAATGAAAAGGTGGAATAGTTAAGTTGGGCTTGAAAGGTTGATCCATGTACCTGTATTATCAAAGAGTCTTATTGGGCTTCTGCAGTTTGAACGAAAATAAATTTTCATCCCAATAATATATAAAATATAAGTAAAAATCATTATTTGAATGATTATAAACCTACTACAATTCAATTATTTCAATAATACCTAATTTTTTTATTTTCAATATGTATTTAATTTACAAATTATAATAAATTGTTATTAATTATTAATTAATTAACATTCACATTCACTTTCATTTAATTAATATTATAATTTTGAGAAATTTAATTTATTAATTTATTATTTTTTTTTTTTTTCAAAAATATTCTCTTGTCTTTAAAAATTTGAATGGGTGGTTTCACATAAGAATCTTGCACATCTCTACCTAATCCTTTTCATTTCAACTGGCATAAGCACAACCTACCATGACAGTGAAAAATTTATATAATTTTTCAAATATTTTGGACACGTGTCACATTGCATTGACCTTGGATTAATAAAATTATTATTATTTATTTAAACGAATAAACCTATCGCTTTTGTTTTTACTTATTTTTTTATGAAATTATGTAGTGATAGATACCCACATGCTCTGTCATTACAATTGTTATGGTTTAAGTGCCTTTTCAAATCATTGAAAAAGCATAAAACTCCATTTTTTTTCTTTAAACGTAACTCGTTGGTTGAGTTTACATGCGTATATATTCTTGTATAAAATGACTTCGTATCATTTGTTGGACAAAAAATATTATATTGTTATACGAAAAATATCGAGCAAATTTCATGAAAAAGTTTATCCCGATCTCCCCAACCACCACCGTCCACCATCTTCTCGATGCCACCACCACTGTCCGCTACCATTCGAACGTGAATTTAGATGAGTCCACCACCATAAATCTCTTATCGCCTAACTCCCACCATCACCCACAATCACAATCCACCACCGTTATCACTTATCCATAATCCCCATGGTCGGTTCAAGTATTATGGGAGTTCAGCAGTCGCCTATTGAAGGCTCCCTATTTTTAAATTTATACATTTTCTCATTTATTTCATTATAAAAATTCCGTCAATAATTAATAACATTAGAAATAAATAAAAATTACAAATAGTTTTAGTTAGTAATATTAAAAAAATAAGTAGTTTAACAAATTTAATTTATCAAAAAAAATTGTGAAGAAATTAGGTTAAGTAATTTGGGAAAGAATTTGATTTTTAAGGTTATTTGTGAAACTTTTCCTAATTCTAATTCTTGTTCGAGAATAAAAATTGAAAAGTAAATGAAAAGGTGGAATAGTTAAGTTGGGCTTGAAAGGTTGATCCATGTACCTGTATTATCAAAGAGTCTTATTGGGCTTCTGCAGTTTGAACGAAAATAAATTTTCATCCCAATAATATATAAAATATAAGTAAAAATCATTATTTGAATGATTATAA